TCTTGGCAGAACCAGGGATTCAACTCAGGCCCTTATGCTTGCCAGGGAACCACTTATTCTACTGAGCCATCTCCCAGGCCCTCTTCCACATTCTCATCTCCGAGCATCAGATCCCTAAGCCCCCACTTTAGATCATGTATTTTAGCACTTGGTCTAACTTTTTGAATTAATTTTCCCTGCATTAGTTACGATATTCTAGATATCATAGCAATTATTTACAGAAATCAAATCAAAACATGCAGTTATGCAACTCACAATGCAATAGTATTTGCAGTGAGCAGGTTAATGACTGTTCTTCACAAAGAGGCCTCAGAATTTAGAAACTCTCTTCTTTTCAGTGCTTCTAGGACCAATCCGATGAGGAACTCCATTCCAGCTTTTGGAAAGGGAAATGGGACAGAAGACCTTGGACAGAAGCTTCCATAAGCAGGAGCAGAAGAAATCTGCATTGTGTGTCCTTACATACTACTGCTTTTTAGTTTAAGTGTAGAAATACGCTGAACTTCGAAGATCTAGTCTAAAGACAAAATATCTTGGTGTGAAAAAGGAAATCAGAAGTGTGAAAGAATACTCAAGAGTTCCCACAGACTAGACAAGATAAGGAAACACGAAAAGTGTGTGAAACAAATGATCCTGGAATTGGTCCTGGAGTAGGAAAAGGCCTTCAGGATCCCAGGCAGTGAATTAGAATAAGATTTGTAGACTACAGAATAGTATTCTATCAGTTTTCTTACTCTAATAATTATGCCGTAATTAGTATTTTCAGAAGTTCAGTGCATATAAAAAACTTCACGTAATTTCTGCAAGGTTTATGCATGTGGAGTTATTTCAGAATGACAATTCTAAATGCCAGAAAGGAAAGAGTCATAGATTCCAAGAGCTGTATAGAAGATACCTACACCAAACAAATGGTTAAGTTTAAAAATAATTAGGAAAGGTATCTTAAGAGTAAGTGGACATAGTTTGTGCAAAAAGTTTTCTAATGGGGAATGATATAAGAATTTACTATTGCAAGATTAGAGCATATTTTCTCGAGCTTTCTATTGAACAATAGTGAATTCATTAATTTTCACTTCTGTGGACAAGCTATGAGATTATAAAACATAACATTATAAAGTTTAGCTGTTATTTTTTTATAAAGCAGAAGTAGAGACAAGAGATTCAATGCATGTAGCTTAATTTGAAGCCATCCCTCTCAAAATGAACCTGGGTGATTCTGGGCAGGGGAAGGAAAAAGGAAAACTAATCTTTCAGCTGAAAACTGGGCTGGTATGATGATAGATCTCAGTAGTTCGGGGAACTTTGGAGGCTATAGTGAAGACTTTCTGCTCTACACAGCCTAGGAAAGCATTTGCCACGCCTATTTGCCACTCGCCCAGATGTGCCCAGGGTTCCTCACGCTATCTCATTTTCAGATCTGCATCTATGCTCAAATGACTCTACCAACTCTTTCAGGTGCTGTACGTGGTGCCATTCCCTAGAGAAGAAGGAAACATACAATTAAATTGAGTCACATATTCCTTTTTTACTTATTTTACTTATACTCCTCTGGTTCCTGTAGCAATGACCAAATACAAATATTTGACCAAGAGGATGGGGTATTGTGGGTGCTCAGTACGTTTCGCCTCTTGTGCTTTCACCTCTCTCAGATCATCATGAAGCCAGGACCATCGCAAATTCTGCAATGCGGTGTTCGGTCATAATTACTACAGAAGATTCAATACCAAAGAATTAGTAAGTCAATTTCAGACTTGATAGTTGTAACTGGTATGGGGCTGAGATTTTGTTCCTAAGATGTATTTTCTATGTTCATTTTAGATTTTCCTCACCCTAGCTGGAGAAATGAACAGAGTAATGAATCTGATCCCTGAGTTGCCTTTGACTCTAGTACCATGATTAGGAAAACTGCTTGCTTACAATTATCACTGAATTCGTGAGCACCGAGAGATTCTACAAAGCTGGCTTAGAGACAGAGACCTTTCTCTCTCCACTATCCAACAACATTTTTTTTATCCTCACAATAATCAGTATAAATTAACTTACAAATTTGATAACTTCATTCATTGTTTACTGGTCAATTTACATGGGAACTCCAGATTGTTGAAGAGTCACAGTTTGGAATTCAGTGAAACCCTCATTGCTTGCCTATAAGGAGACATCCTTCTCAGAACACTGACCACTATGGCTGTGGACAAATGAAACAAAAATTCCTTATTTATGCTACTGGAATATGTGATAAGAGTTCTGATTTTCTAAGACTTGCTGTCAACATTTGTGTGTTTGGGGTTTTATACAGACTGTCCAGGATCTTATAGTTGTTTTGCCAAAATATTTCAGCCTCTAGGATGGCAATCCAATTTCATCTGAACATTTTTATTTTACTGTCCACGCAAGTGTTAATTTGTCATGAGAATCTAAGTACTCCTTAGCCCACATATTCATGTTTAACAGTTCAAGAACCCAGAACAGTGACAAATGTCTATGGAACTCAATCCAAAGAAACCTTTTATTCCTATATCACTTTGCATTCTGAAAGATGCCAGCCTTCCTCATTTCTTCAAAATCTTTCATGGAATCATAACTTCTATAGAAATTGGAATATACCTTCTTTCTTGGTTCAGCCACACCAAACTCATAGAAAGCTGCAAGCCCCAGGGGTTATAGAGAGCTGCAAGCGCCAGGGATTATAGAGAGCTGCAAGCGCCAGGGATTATAGACAGCTGTAAACCCCAGGGATTATAGAGAGCTGCAAGCCCCAGGGAGACAATGAATGCTCCAATAATACAAATCTGCAGGGGCCTGGCCAGAAGCCCCCACATCTGGGTTTTTGCCAACACACTGGAACACATGGTTGTTACCGTCCTCCACGCCAAGGTCCTTTCTGGCTGACTAGCTGAACAGTTAATGAGACATTAGATCACACCTTTCCAGTATGCTGTTTCTAGGCAATAACTCATGTGCTTCCACAATAAAAAGGGCTCTTGCTTTGAGAAGATCTTCATTGTAGATCCCATGGACATGAACTCTGCATTCTTCCAGCCCGCCGTTGGTGATGCCAGAGTTATTGTGAGCAGGGAAAGCAAGCCCATTTCTGCACTAGACCTCAGTCTTAAAAAAGACACATTTCTACCCTACTGAAGATAGAAGAGATGAAATATAGTCAGTGTTCTACTAAAAAGTGCACTCATCTTTTTGAGGAACGATATCATTCCAAGGTCTTCGTGTCAGTTTTGGGTGATCGTCTTCCAGCAGGACCAGCACACAGGTTTGAGCGAGCTTTGTTCTCTGTGCTGTACCTGTGCCATGCACACTCCACTGTCAAGGTCACTGCACGAGTATACAGTGACTAACTAGAAAAGACACTATGATAATCTATAGGACAGATCAAGCTGTCTGACTACTGCGGGTTTCCTCCGTGTGTTTTGACACACTGGTAAGTGGAGCCAGTGTTTCTTGCTCTAGTATATTGTGGTAAAAAATTTCAGTTCCCTTTGGCAGAAGATTGAAGCAATATTTATTGTGTATCCATAAAATGACTTTCAAGATCTTCTGTCAGATGGAACCACTCTAGAATTTTATTGTAGGCCCCCAGACAAAGTAGTGGCTTAGATTTGGAGAAAGTACTGCATTTCCCGATTATCCTGGCTTTAGCTTCAGTCTTAGGCTGTTGTTATTTTTCTCTGGTTAAGTCAAGTAATACGCTTTGCTTTCCCATTTACGGCCTCTGTTGTCGTAGTCCACTCAGGATGCTATAAAATCCATAAGTTAAACAGACTGAAACATCAGTCGTTTATTTCTCTCAGAGGTTCAGGAGTCCAGGATCAAAAACTAGTAGATTGGTGCCAAGTGAGGTTCGTACAACACAAGTGCCTTTTTGTTTTCTGTGCCCTCACTTTGTATAAAAGCTAGCTTGTGTTTTGTGACCCCGTATAGGACCACTAACCCATTCACGAGGACTCCATCATCATGGAGTTGTAATTACTCTGAAGGCCCCAATTTGTAATGCCATCATTATAGAGGCTCGTGCTGCGTCACATGAATTTGAGGGACGTCTCACATTATAGCATATGTGTCACTTGCAACAGTAATTTTCATCCATTTTCTATCATTGCAGCACTACACGGAATCTTAACCTCTAATATTCCCATAGGAGACTTGTTAAACCAGGGTATTCTGTCCTCTTGTAGAAGGGCTGCTCTTTTATTTACATTTTGGGCCTAATTTTTAACATATTCAGTCTTCCAGCTATAATGAGTCTCTTTCAATGTTATTATGGACAAACATTGACTTTTCCATACTGAGTCAAGTTGATGCTTAACCTAAGTGCACCATTGACTTCTGCAGCAACTAAATTACCTCAGACAAACTCAGGTCATCATCATGGCCCCCGCACCACGCGGATGCCCCACAGAACCTCGCGCAGTGCATTGCCGTAAGTCTGTGCCTGCCTAAACCCAGCAATGGCTAGGGTGTCATAGTTGTAATGCTGCTACATGTTGAGAGAGTACCAATACACAAATTTCAGCTGCAAAAAATTAGATTCCTTTCTGACTGATAAATGGTTCAATATCAGAATCCCATCCTGAGGAAATTTTTCCATGTATATCAGCATAAACACTTGGATTTCTGCAAAAGTCAGAACATGATATTGTTACCAATTAGTTGTGTGTAAGAAGCAATGAAGGAAATATAATTGAGAGTATAAAACCCAGAATTTTTATGATGGGGAGACTCACATCCAAGAGTATACTGTAAGTAAGTAATCGTGGTGGTGCTATGGTTTGTGTCCAGTGTGGGCGTGAGTACTGCGGGTTTGCTGGGTGTGAGTGCTACACCTGCCTGGGGCTGACAGCCTGAATGCATCATAAGGAGGGGCAAGGGGCTTGCTGCTGCTGAAGCTGCTGTTCCTCCTTCCTTTTACTCTTCACTGTTTTCTGCTACCACGAATGCTGCCCTCTGCCATGTTCCACTCTACCTTGGAGGCAGCCAAGTCTGGACTGAAACATCCATTAACTGTGAGCTAAACAAACTTTCCATTCTTTAATGTTTTGAGTTAGGTATTTTGTCTCAGCAAGAAGGAAAAAGTAACTGAGACAATTTGTTACCAAGAAGTGGTGTCATTGCTGTGAGCATACCTGCAATGTGATTCACGGGTGTTTGGGAATGGGTTATGGGGAGAGACAGGAAGGTTTCAGTGATGTTGCCTACAGGAGAAGCACTGGAATGCCTTCAGCTATTCTATAGGAGATTCAGGTTAGGAATCAGAAGACCAGAAGGCTGACAGAAATCCTGCCTGTAAAGACCAGGCTGGGGAGGATTCTGCTGGGAAGAAGGACTGCACTGGTTGTTGGGCTCCAGATGATGTATGTTATGGCTTGACAGAAAGTTTGTGTACATTTTGTTTATGCCCAGTGACTTTGCCTGATATCGAGATTATGCATGGTGGATTGATTGATCGTGCAAAAGAAATTTCAAGGCAGTCAAATGTTGAGACAGTTGCATGGCTGTTGTAAGGACTTATAGTCAGATTTATGTTGAGATTCAAGAGCAAAGAGCCCAGGAAGATGAGTTAAAATGTTGTGAGTTTGGCAAGAAGGGAAACACCAATAAAACTATGGAATATACAGATAGATCTCAGAGGATTTCCATTACTGAGAATAAACAAGAGAATGAAAAGAATGGTCTGACGGCATCACAAAACTGAAATGTGGAAGACTTTGCTTTGCAGAGAAAAGTGCAGAGCACCATGCTCTAGAATGGCAGCAGCATAGAGAATTTGTTCCTCAAAATCAGGGTGAGAGCAATCAGCAATCCAGCCACTTGACCCCTCCATCCAAGAGAAAAGACAAGCTGGCTACAACTCCAGCTAGCAGTAGACCTTGGCATCATTCATGTGGCACTGATTTATGTGCTTACAAAATGCAAGAGTCTTGAGGTTAAGAAGGCTTTCACCTTGATCACAAGGTCTGGGAGGCCAGGCAATGTGACCCTGAGAGGTTAATGTGTGAAGCTGTGAGTGACAAGCATAACATGCAATGGAAACCCCAGAAGTTTGGAAAGGCCAGAAACCTGGATCATCTAAGGAAAGTTACAAGGAGGGAGCAAAGCCAGCCTAAGAGAAAAGTCGTGGGAGATACAACAAAAAGTGCCATAGAGGTTCAGCCAAATGGAACTCACAATTTGCCACGGATTGCTTTGGATGTTCCACATGGAACTACAGGACTTATTGTCTGCCCTTATGGATTTTGGGTTTGCTTTAATCCAAATGCTTTGTATCCCATTTGTATCTTTTGGAACAATGATATTTTTCTTGCACCATTTAATGTTGGCAGTGCTTAACTTTTCATTTGTATAGGGGCTCACAGCTAAGAGTTTCCCTTAGGTCTTGGAGGAGACTTGAGATTTGAACTTTTCAGCAATGCTGAAACTTTAGGACCTTGGCAATTCTTAGAGACAGACTAAAATGCTTTTCTCATAAAGGTATGCACATGTGTCTTTGTGGGGGTAGGGGAAGAAGGTTATGGCTTGTGTCTAGTTGTACCCCTAAAGTTTCCTGCAGTCATGGGACAGCTTCTAGTGTTTTTAACTCATGACCTAATGGTGGGATTATCCGTGTGAGTGCTACATTTGCCCAGGAGTGAGTAATTTGCATACAACATAAGGAAGGTAGAGAGGTTTGCTAGCTGCCATAATTGCTGCTCCTCCCTTTGTTCTTTGCTGTTTTCTGTGATTATGAGTGGCTGGCTGTCTTCTTCCTGAACCACTTTGCCTTGGAGCCAGCCAAGTATAGACTGAAGCATCCGCTAACTGTGAACTAAACATACCTTTCTTGTCTTAATTTTGTGTGTTGGGCATTTGCTATCAACAAGAAAAAAGTAACAGAGACATGTGAGTAACTAGAGTTTAATGGTCTTAGGAATTCTGAGAACCCATGGAGGATATGTCCCCAAACCTTCCTCATGAAACAAGAAGAGTGTCAGCAATTGGCATGGGCCTAATATTGGCTGAAGTGCTAAGACACAGTAACTATCTTTCATTTGCATATTTGCATAATTTCTGGAATACCTGAGTGCCTTTCGCATGGCAGCTGCAGAAAATCTGCAGCAGCCGGCGAGACACAGAGCCCAGGTGGTGTGGAGTGTGGCCAAAGGATATCAGCTTTAATATTGTAGCTGCGACTCCAGCAACGTGATAGGCACAGAGAACGTGAGCTGGCCCCAGGGATGGCCAAATGCTCGTGTTTTATGAGTCCGCCCTGTGTCTTAATGTGCTGTGTTCACCAAAACGGTCAGCACTACAGATTACTTTTGCAATGTTTGAACCTGTACATAAATACGCATCTGTATACTGCAGCACGTATTTCTGGTGATTTTCAAAGTTGCATGCAATTTATATTGACACTAACTGTGTATATATTCCAATCACATCATGTCAACTTTAATATTATTAAGCATTTATACTTTTATTTTATGGCAGGTCTTTCATAAATATAACCAAGTTTCTAAACTACTTTCCAAAATAAACATGAAGTTGGAACAATGTGCTCTATAGAGACCTCTGTTTTGCCTATTTTTTTTCACTGATAAACTACTCTTTCGGGCTGGAGAGATGGCTCAGTGGTCTAAAGCACCTATTTAGAACAAGCTTAGTAAAGCATCAGGGACCGCGGTTCAATCCCCCAGCACCACATGCCAGCCAGCCCCGCCCCCTGGTGGGCTGAGCTGGCCACACACACACACACCACTCTCTCTCTCTCTCTCTCTCTCTCTCTCTCTCTCTCTCAAATAAATAAAAAAAATAAAAACAGCTTAATTAAAAAAATAAACTACTCTTTCTTCTCACTAATTTA